AAAGCTTACTAATGAAGATCAAGGACAACAGACTTAAGCATAGATTACCTCAACATAAATAGAGCAAAAATTCTCATGACTGGATCATTAGACAACATCACGAGAAACCGAACAAATACTGAAGTTGTTAAGCATATCATTTTACTTGGATCCATGGATCAGTACCCATAAAGGCAGCAATCCAGAAATCAACTGGTGTATTTTACTGCATAAATCAATACAAAATCTGTGAGAACTTCAATGTTTGCTCCATTTTTATGATGTTACCAATTGGCCCAGTTGTGAGGATTTTGGTCTTCTTTACAGTTAGTCATAACCCAGATTGACAGCTGTAATCCTTGATCATTATCAACAAGTGCTACTCCTTTTCAGCAAGGAAGATTGTGTCATCTGCATATCTCAGGTTAATAAGCCTTCCTCCAATCTTGCTGCCACATTCTTCTTCATATAAGCCAGTTTCTCTGATTATTTGCTCACAGATTTAAAAAGTATGAGAGAGGTTACAGCCCCGATGCACAGCTTTCCTGATTTTAAACCATGCATTTTTTTAGTGCTTACAGATACTTCATTCTCACAATTACATGAATAGTGAAAACTTTTCTTGGTGAGATTATGTATACATATATATCTATGTATAAACTACCAGCCCTAACAATAAACCAGTGTTCATGGAAGCAGAAGTCAAGCAATCAAAAGACTTATTGCATTAAGTAAACGTGCTCCACAAGACTGCTATAGACTATTAAAGAGTGTGGTAGTTAAATAATCTGCTGTCAATTTGAGAGGATTAAGAGTGAAGGGGTGGAGTTTAGCCTGTCAATCATGTCAGAGTTTGATGACCTCATTTAGAAGCGCTAAGGAGATAAGTAGCTCACTTCAGGCAGGACACAGGTTCACTCCCTATGAGACATGAAGCTACCATGATGCAGCCAGAGCCCTGGGATCTAGAGGAGCCACGTGGAGACCCCCAACAGTGCTGAAATGTTTACAAGGCCACTGGATCCATAAGACTTCCCACCCACTGGCCTGTGATTTTCCTGCATTCAGTGACATTGCATGTTTTGTGAGTCTGTAGAGGAGTTTATAGACTGGTATCAGACATATGGGCTAATATTGGACTTATGGACTTAATCTGGACTGGACTGGGATGTTTTCTTAATGTACAAATGCTCTTTATATAAAGCTGTTTCTTATACACATATGAGTGTTCATGAATTTGCTTCTCTAGTCTACCCAGACTGATAAAAGAACAAGGATGCTACTTTAAGGATGAAGGTGCACCTGACCCAAGTCATGATATTTTCCATCACTTCATATGCATGTGAAAGTTGAACATTGAATAAGGAACACTGAAGAAGAATTGATGCATTCAAATTGTGGTGCTGAAGAAGAACGTTGAAAGTACCTTGAACTGTTAAAAGGACAAACTAATCTGTCTTGGACGAAATACAGCCAGAGAGGTCCTTAGAGGCAAGGATGGCAAGACTTCTTAAATAGTTTGGACATGTTTTCAGCAGAGACTAGTCCGGGGAGAAGGACATGATGCTTGGTAAAGTAGAGGGGTAGCAAAAAGAGGGAGGCCCTTGAGGAGATAAATTGACACAGCGGCTGCCATGGGGGGTTTAGGTATGGGAACGATTGTGAGGATGTCTCGGGACCAGGTAGTGTTTCATTCTGTTGCACATAGGCTCCCTATGAGTGGGAGCCAACCCGATGGCTCTTAACAACAACAAAGCACTGATTATGACCCTAACTAAAAAACAAAGTATTTTCTTTAGCAGATTTCCATTGTGTTATGAATCAAATTTCAGTCACTTATTTGCAAGCATATTCTTCTAACAGTTTATGGGCAATTTAGTTCACGTTAGCACAGGCTTTGTTAAAATCAGCAACATACAGAGGTTCAGTTCTAAGTTGCACTCCCAGCAAAAGAGCAGATCTTTCTGCAGCATTTCTGCAGGGTGGAACACTACACTTCTATGCAGCTTAGTGCGGCTTGTGAGGTTGGTAATTAGGCCTCCACACCCTTTGTTTGCTGAGTCATATATCTCATGGTTCTTTTCATTCTTTTAGTTTAAGATGTCTTGGTGAAAAAGTTGGCGTTAAAGTGGTTCCCATGGGAGGGTAATCCAAGCTAAAGCATCAGATGACTCTAGACTCTGGATATAGGTTTGAAACATTGTGGCCTTCAATTTAATCCGTGCGTTTTAGTCTCCTCACTCTATATAATAGAGCTTGACACATTAGTTCATTTCTGGAAATACATTTAACCTTTGGCTGTTGATTCAAATATCAGTTTGAAACTTATTTAGGCTATGGAGTTTCTCTCTCTCTCGTTCTCGCTCTCACTCTCACTCTCACTCTTCCTTTGTTCAGCAGCCACTAACATTTACAGAATTCACATGTGCCCCAAACTGCACATTTGTGATGACATGTAACTGGCACAATAAACCCATTCAGTGGATGCCACTATCTCTGCTTAGCAAATAAGGAAGCTAAAGCTCAAGAAATTAGCAAATGTCCAAATGCCAATTTTCTCTAACTTAAAATTATAAAAGAAGAGGTACATTGGGAGAGTGCCAATGAGTCTATTTTGCCAAATTAAAATATAGGGAACAAAATTAAGAGACCACATTGCAAAAGCCATATTATTAATCTTTCTAATTCATAGATCATGTCCTTCCTACTTTTATGTATTTAAATGTTCTTTCTTTTATGAAATTTTTGTGCTGGGGAAAAGAATGATTCTGTCATTTGTAAAGTGGTTATCCAACAAAACTGAAAGTTGACAAGTCTGTATCAGCCTGGAGTAATCTGAAATGGTACTGATCCCAGAGCCATAGTACACAATTGTGCTGGTGGCACACACTAGAGCCCTTTTACATTTTGTGGGTGGGAAAAGCCAAAACCGTGGGCCAACCTGCTATGAAACCAAACAACCTGGGGAACATTGCCCCTCAGAACAGCCTCGGCATATTAATGCTGGCAGAAAAGAGAAAATGAAAACCAGGCTATAAAAAACAAAACCAAAGTCAGTTCCGTTGAGTTGAATCCAATTCATAGCAACCCTACAGGACAGGGTAGAATTGCCCTTGTGGGGTCCAGAAACTGTAATTCTTTGTGGAAGTATTAAAGCCTCATTTTTCTCCCACAGAAAAACTGGTGGTTTCAGATTGCTGACCTTCTGGTTAACAGCCTGAGATAGTTAGGGTTTATTGTGCCAACCTGACCGATAAACACATGTGGGGTTAATTGAAGGGTGGAGAGGTAATTGGCTCAGTGAACCTCGTCTTCCCAGTTCTCGGGTCTCTTGCTTTCTCATGGTCTGACCAGAGTGCAGCTCCCTTAGCCAGTTCCCTGCTTCAGCTGGCAAGGTTCACTTCCTGCAAGACATTCCCGAAGAGAAGCCACATGCACCTACCCCGGTGCAGCCCTGGGTGCTAGAGCAGTCGTGTGGAGACCCTGCCAGCGCTGAGATGCTTACACGTTCACTGACTCAGCAGTAGGCATCATTGCATGTGTTTTGTGAGATGGAGGAGGACTTTGTGGATTGGTGTCAGACATATGGGCTAATGTTGGACTTGTGAGCTTGGACAGCACTGGGTTGGGATGCTTTCTTAATGTACACTTACCTCTATATAAAACTCTCTCTCATACATATAAGTTTCTGTGGATTTGTTTCCCTAGTTTACCCAGACTAACACACAGCCCAATGTGCAACCACTATGCCACCAGGCTCTGACTAAATGTAACTGCTTTTAGCTCCCATAAGGCTTTAAATATGAAACATGCATAGGAGTCAATGTATGCAACACATCTTTATGAAGCATTCGCATGTGCCAGGCATCTACAGTTTCAGAAACATAAATGAGATCAGCAGCTTTACCCTGACAGAGCTCACAATCTAGTGATGAACCTATTTAAGTTATCTATATATAATAATACGATAGAGAGAGATACATGCATTATATACTCATATAATCTTCAAAATCTGTGTGGAAACTATTATTATTATTATTATTATTATTATTATTATTATTATCATTTTTCAGGTGAAAAAGGTCTTACTTACAATATGACCTCTAAGCAAACAAGAGGTCAAACAGAAACCCATAGCCAGTTCTCTGGGCTCCACCGCAGTGTGCAGGTGTAAGGTTATATGTGAGCTTGGAAGAGGAAGGCAGTGAAAAAGAAAGTTCCTGGCCCACATGACTGGTCATGTTTCCCAGGCTTATCCATATTGTCGCATGGATCGGGATTTTATTTATCTTCTTGGCAGAGTAGCACTCCATTGTATTATATTCCACATTGTATTTATCCCTTTGTCTGCTGATGGACATTTATTTCTCTAATTCTCCGACTCAAATGTGATGCAGGGAACACTGGAGTAAAACTTTCTGTTTGTGTTGCTGCTTTCGATTTTCTTGCATATATACTTAGGAATGGAAGTGCTAGGTCACGTGGTAGCTCACTTTTTAGCTTCTGAAGAACTGACAAACTTTCCCACAGTAGATATACCAGTTTTTTCCCACCAGAAATGACAACTTACTTTTTTTTAATACTAGGAAGAATAGTACAGTTCTGAACTCCCATCCTACGTTTGCTTCCTTTCTCCACTCTAGCCCCAAATGATCTCTGTTATGGGGATGGTGCTACGACAGTCATGTACAGAATAGCGTCCTAGGAGAAGATGTAAATAAAATAGAGAGAAATTTGTTATTCTCAATTAGAAGAAGGGAAATTCACTGTAAACCAAAGATCAAATTGCCCATTCATCTAAAAACTACTTGTCAACTTTTGTGAGGTAAAGAAATGTTTAAAGAAAAACCATTAAAGAGAATCTTGTTCAGTGTAAACTTGTATCCAAAACCTATTCCAACAAAGAATGACTCCATTTCCTATAAACAGAATCCCTGTGTAATCTAGGAGGCTCGCAGAGGCAGAAGATGACTGTGGACACTCAGGGATAGCTTCTGTGAGTACGATGAGTGACATTTGAGCTCTGTCTTTGTTCTAAGGCCAGCGCGAGTGCCGTCAGCGTCAAGATCCCTGAACCCATGCGTGGTAGGGTTTGTTGTCGTTGCAGTGGTGGTGATCCTGGCAGTGACCATCGGTCTACTTGTCCACTTTTTAGCTTTTGGTAAGTACCAGAAAGTTACTGCTCTTTGGACTAGACGTCTAAATATTCTTTCAAATGAAAAGTCTGGCATTCTCTCCCTTTTAGTCACTTTAGTTTCTTCATATCACATTACTGTATACCCTACTTTTAATCCTTCACTAAATATGGGTTTACCTTATTTTTCCCCAAAAATGCATTTTTCTGTAGTCTTTATTGCCTACCAAAAATTACTATTCAAGCATGGATTCTACAACCCAAAAAAACCAAAAACTCTTGTTACCTTTCTGTTGCTTTAATTTGGCCTTTAAAAAAATTAAAGCCATGATTTCTTTTTTTATTAAAAACATGATCAAATTGTAAAAGTAAATCATTAAAAAGAAATTTGTTTCAATACTTGGCAGTTGGGCACCTCTACCAAAAAACAAAGCGATCTCGCTGCCACAGAGTTGATGCTGATGCATAGTGAGCCTATGGAGCAGGGTAGAACCACCCCTGTGAGTTTCCAACACTATACAGCTTTTCTTTTTAATTGGGGTTAATACTGTATCATATTCCATATCTCAATCATGTCAAGCAGTATTGTGCAATTGCTACCACACTCAGCTTCCAAACATTCTTTTCCTTCCTTGACGTCATCTCCCTTTTACACCTCCCCCCACCACCATCACCACCGTACCCCCACCCACCCCAAAACCCTTATTCTGTTTGCTGTTCCAATTGGTTCATCAACCCTGGATTTCATATACTGAAATACAGAAAACATATCACACAATTTCAAGAGGGTGACTCCAATGATATAACACCTCTGAGAGAAACCCTAATGTGAACAACAAAGAAAACAAAGTTGAAAACCAGATCAGGTCCAGCATCCTTCAGAGCAGGGATCAATTTGACAAAGTTTTAACTGTTCATGTCAGATTTATCCCTTTGGTCTTCCATACTGATCTCTCCTATGCACTCTGTCGGGTAACCACTTTCCTCTCTCCCTCAATTATGGATAGATGGAAACCACTGGCCACTTATTTCTTATGTAGTTCCTACAAATGTATCATGGGTGCCCATTATCATACATAACTTTCTGCAAACCAGATTCTCACAATTTAGGCTCTGATACTAATCCCTCTTTTGACTTCAGATTATATGATTTACAATCCTTCAGTGATGATGGTGTGATTTTTCCACGTGTACTTACTTGACATCTCACTTGGGTTATTTGGAGACTAGCCTTTAAGACACTACTGATAGCCAGGCACCATCTAATTCCTTTGCCACATTTTGCTATAGCACCCATAACTTCTGTATTCCCCTCCTGAGGGTGAGTATCAAGCAGGGCCATGATATAAGAACTAATTGTTCTTAAGCTGGAGTTGGGATTTGGTGTGAGCCCAAAACTTATTCCTGGATTTGAGGGTTTTTTAATGTGTTTGTTTATTTTATCTGCCTTTGGCTTCCTTTTAAATCTTTATGAGAGTAGAAAGTCCCATCTTTCTCCCTCAGGGACACATCTACGGATTTTTAATTCTTGTCTCCTGAAAGCACAGACTTACATGGTGAAACAGAGGGTCAAGAGATGGCTTTACAGTTCAGAAGGAGATAGGGCAAAGCCAAATTGTTTTAAAACTTCTGTTCTTTAGTTAATGTTTTACCTTCTTAAAAATTTTATCACCAAAATATTAGGAACACATATTAAAAATATACAAAAACATGTACACCTACGCATTCACAAATAGACTTACTAAATAGCTGTTTGTTATTCTTTGGCTGCTTTAATGTGGGTATATAAAATGCTTTCATGTGGGTATAGAACATGACATTCTGTTACATATCATGCATGTTAAAATTTGTTTCTTTCCCTAAAATATACTGTGAGATTTTTATATATTTAACTAAATCATTTAATTGTATGTGTGTGTTTTGAGAGGTTAAGAGGAAGAGAGAGAAGGAGGGAGGGAGAGAGAGAGAGAGAGAGAAAGAGACTGAGAGAGGAAGAAAATATAATTTCTTTTGTCTCCTAATGTTCTATTAATGTATCTTTAATGTATCTTTTCCCAACTTTTCCTCTTTATAAACACTGAAGTGCAGGCAAAATTAACCATAAAGAAGGTGGAATTTTAGAAAATATTGAAATAATTTAGATAGACAAAAATATTTAACCATGCAAACATTGAATAATTCCCAATAGTGAAATAGTACAAACATTAGAAAAGCCAGTAACTATGAATAGTCATTTCAACCAATTATTATTTTGATTAAACTAAAAGGCAATGGCTAAATTGTACTTTGGATACTTTTTTCTCCCTAAATCACCTAGAGTCAACTATCTTTACAGTGAATTCCCTTTGGTAGGGAAAGAGATATCAACTTTCATATTAAATAAATGAATCATCGCTATTAATGAAACTGTATTTTTTTTTCCCCTTGAAAGCAGTCACTGTTTTATTAAGAGACCAGATTACAAAAATAATCATGGCAGATAGATATCTTAGTTCACCCTTCTAATAAGTCTGTTGATCTGGTCTTCCCGGTTGCCTGCATCTCCACCTTCTACGAAATGGGTGGTCTTTTTCTTCAACCCACCTTGTGGAGAAGATAATTTGAAGGGCCACAGGAAGTTATTTGCTTCTTTGAAATGTTTCCCAACAGTATAGATCTCATGAATCAGATCCTCCATGCCATATTTTTTTAATCATTTTATTTGGGGCTCATACAACTCTTATCACAATCCGTACACACATCAATTGTGTAAAGCGCATTTGTACATTCATTGCCCTCATCATTCTCAAAACATTTCCTCTCCATTTAAACCCCCGGCATTAGGTCCTCATTTTTCCCTTCCCTCTCCGCTCCCCTCTCCCTCATGAGCCCTTGATAATTTATAAATTGTTATTTTGCCATATCTTGCCCTGTCCGATGTCTCCCTTCACCCACTTTTCGGTTGTCTGTCTCCCAGGCAGGAGGTCACATATAGTTCCTTGTAATCGGTTCCCTCTTTCCTACCCACTCCCCCTCTACCCTCCCTGTATTGCCACTCACACCACTGGTCCTGTAGGGCTCATCCGCCCTGGATTCCCTGTGTTTCCATTTCCTATCTGTACCAGTGTACATCTTCTGGTCTAGCCAGAATTGCCATATTTACCAAGAGACCGTGCAATCAGAGTGTTATCTGTTAGGGCAATACGCTGCTTATTGATTTTGCCATCACCACGCTTGTAGATGAGTGCATTCACTGACTTCAGGTTTGGGTACCCCCATGCAATGTATGGTTCCACAATCCTCAGCATGTTAATTGAAACCTTGTTAAGCTTAACAAAGGTGCCATTGAAAATCTGGCAAAGGCGAAGAAGCTGCAACACTTTTCGAACCTTTGGGCTCACCATTGATACCTCTGCTCCTGAGAACAAACACCAGCTTGGGCTCTCCAGGTACATAAAAGTTGCCAGCTTTCCTTGCCATCTGAGCCATTCGGATTTCAGTTCTGTACATCTGCCTGTATTCCTTGTGATAGTGCTTAGCTTTCTCATAGATAAGCTTCCTCCTTGCCTTTTGAAGCGTCTTTTGGGCAAACTTCTTTCTTAGGTGTTTGATCTTTAGTTCTGTGAAATTCCTTCGCTTTTTCTTAAGGGTCTCTGGAACAGCAGGGCCTTCTTCTTCTTCTCCGCGACAGCCTCCGTGATTCCAGCAGGTTTAAGGAAAAAGAGGGAAACTGTATTCTTATACTTAAACAAAAGACTGACAACCTTGTACGTGTCTTAAACTGTAGCCCAGTGACCACTGCGGGCCAAAAAACACCTGCCATATGCTCACTATAAAACGACCACCTTCTCCCAGGATCCTCGGGTGTTTCTCTCAATTTAAGTATTTCTCTATACAAATTATACTCACAAATAATCCAAATAAAGCATGAATTTTGTTATTCACAATGTCTCTGGAATGTGTGGAAATGTAGTTGAGGAAATGTAACGCCTTCACAACAGCTATATCTTATGGGAGACCTGTTTGGACTGTGAGGGGTGGGGGAGTGGTGGTGTTGAGGAAGCCACATCATTCAATAATCAGATTATATATTCTGTGAGAAGACTTACTTTGTATCTAACTTCAGGAAGCACTAATGCTAAATCATTCAACCTTCTGTAAAGAATACTATTTGAAATAGTTTTAAGCTATTTACAATTATTGGGTACACTTTTGACAAAGTACTAATAGCATAGAATACGCATACAGGAATGTTTTCTGAATAAGTAAATATGCACTATCGACCTCCCTAAAATATAGTGGAATGTGTTAGTCTGGGTAGACTAGAGAAACAAATTCATGGACACACATGTGTATAAGAAAGAGCTTCATATACAAAAGCAGTTGAATATTGAGAAAACATCCCAGCCCAGTCCAGATCAAGACCATAAGTCTAATATTAGCCCATATGTGCGATACTAATCTATAAAGTCCTCTTGAGGCTCACAAAACACATGCAATAATGCCAAATGCAGAAAGATCACAGGCCAGTAGGTGGGAAGTCTTGTGGCTCCAGTGGCATTGTAAACATCTCAGCTCTGTCGGGGGTCTCCCTGTGGCTTCTCCAGTTCCCAGGGCACAGGCTATATCAGCATAGCACTGTCTCTTGTCAGTAAAGCTTCTCTCAAGGAGTGAACCCAGAGAGAGAGAGAGAGAATAATACAGGATTTCCCAGAATCCTCAGGAGAAGGCCATGTCCACACAGAAGCTTCATTTGCTATATCCTGATTAACGGACTAGACTACACCCCTATACTCTTAATCTTCAAATTGACACCATATTATGTAGCTACCACATAGAACAAAAGTTATAAGGCCCCTAAACCATTTTAATGTCTCAAATAATGAAGGTATTCTGATTTCAATACAACTTCAAATACTCCAGTTTATCCAATCTTGAAAAACTAGCAAATTCTCAAAAATAATTTTATTATTTTATTTATATTAACATAGAGTTCTCTTTTCTTTTTTTAGGGAAAATAAGTAAATTTATTAAATTATACAATACAGCCTTCATAACCACAAATAAGGCAAATGTTAAACAATTTTATAATATGAGGCTGAATTTGTTTCTTATTTATTTCCACAGATCAGAGACCTTACTTTTATCGTAGCAGCTTTCAAATCCTAAATGTTAAATATAGTGATCAGTTAAATTCACCAGGTACACAGGAATACAGGAATTTGAGTGGAATAATTGAATCAATGGTAAGTTTTGACCCTTTATTCCATTATAAGCATAAATATGCTAACCGGATACATTTTCAATTAGTAAATGCTTTGCATATTTTCCTCCTTTTAGTGAGTAAAGGTGTGCTTCTCTGAGCTTTTACTGTTAATTTATTGGTGTACTGGTTCTTATTTACATTTTCTTAAGTCATGAGTTTAAAAGGTTTAGAAGGACTATGAATAAGTAGGCATTTTATTCAATTATGACTTTAGGGTTTAGCAATCTAGTGCCTGTAATGTAAGTATTATTCTTGCTAACTTTGAGGTTGTCTTTTTAAATTCTTTTTATTTGACCTTCTTTCCTCTATTATTATCAAACAAAATGCACAAGCTAACCCATTGCTGTTGAATCAATTCCCACGCATAGCAGCCCGACAGGACACTAGAAATATTTCATCAAGTTTTTGAGGTGGTAACACAAACTGCCCCATTTTTCCTCCTACAGTGAATGAGTCAAACCACTCACCTTGTGGTTAACACCCCAATGCTTATCCCACACTGCCACGAGAGCTCCTAGTTAATATATTTTCCATGTTAATCATGACATAGTCTGGACATTATATTTTAACTAGTGACTGTGTTAGTCTGGGTACTTTAAAGAAACAAATCCACAGAAGAGAGAATTTTATATAAAGGTTAAGTGCACATCAAGAAAACATTCCAACCCAGTGCTGCCCAAGCCCACAAGTCCAAAATTAACCCATATGTCCAACATCCATCCACAAAGCCCTCCTCCATCTCACAAAACGCACACTATGAGTCCAACAGCAGGAGGAAAGCTGAATCAGTAAATGTGTAAACATCTCAGCGCTGGCAGGGGTCTCCACACGGATGCTCCAGCACCCAGGGCTGCATTAGGGCAGGTCCATGTTGCTTCTCCTCAGGGATGTCTTGCAGGAAATGAGCCTTGCCAGCTGAAGCAGGGAACTGCTAAGGCAGCTGCACCCTGGTCCGACCATCACAAAGCAAGAGACCCAAGAACTAGAAAGGCAAGGTTCACTGAGCCACTTATCTCTACGCCCTTCAACTAACCCCACATGTGTTTTTCGGCCAGGTTGGCACAATAAACTAACTACCTCAGTGACCAACACAGAACTTCAAATGGCACTTCTGTATAAGGCAGAAACCTGTCAAAACAAAAACCTCACTATTTTTCACCAACAGAGAGGAAAAGGAAAGTGGTGCCAGGGCATCTTGTCAAAAGCAGAAACCCTGAGAGTTCTAGAATAGTCCAGCAGTCCTGTCAGGTTCCCCATCTCACAAGATGCACTGTATCTAAAGCAAGTTTAGGTCCTCCTTGGAGGACTGTGTCCACTGACTGACAGGAAATCTCGCATGTGGACTCTAGCTGTGTTGCTAGATGCTAGGCAGTCAGTTTCAACTCACAGCAACCTGATGTACAGTGGAAAAGAACACGAGTAGGTCTTGCAACGTCCTCATCATTAGAAGCTTGAACCCACTGTTGTAGCCACTACGGCGATCCATTTTATTTAGGGACTTCTTTGTCATTGACCCTCCACTTTACCAAGCATAATATCCAATATCTTTTTCCAGGGTCTGGTCTCTTGATAACATTTCCAATGTAGGTGAGGTGGCATCTCACTCTCCTGAATTCTAAGATGCATTAAGGCTGTACACCCCCACAACAGATATGTTTGTTCTCTGGCAGTCCACAGAAGGTTCAGTGGCCTTCACCTTACGTTCAACGTGACTTTTACTGGTGCTGCTGACCTTGTTCACCTGAGGAGGCAGTGTTTGTCAAGCTTTTTTATTAGAAAGTTACTCTCCCCCACTTTTCATATTGTTCACAATAGAAGACATTATCTACATAAATTATTTTAAATCTGTCTTTTTCGCTCTTGTCTCCATGTGTTTATTTGCTCAATCATTTGTCTATCTTACTATGGAGATTAATGCATTTAAAATATTTATTTCAATTTCTAGGTTACATTCCCATACATACTACAGAAAAGAGGTGTGTGCTTCCCCCGCCCCGTTATTTTCCATGGTTGCCATTGAGTCAATTCCAGCTACTGGTGCCCCTAGAGGACAGAGTCGAGGTGACACGTAGGGTTTCCTCTGCTTTAATCTCTGCGGGGTCGTTTGCCAAGTCTTGTCTCCAAAGGAGCGGATGGTGGGTTGGAATTGACAATTTCACCATTATACCACCAGGGTCCCTTATTAACAAAAAATTAGGTATTTGTAAAATTTTTCTAATTCGAAAGACGATAGATGATATAAAATTATTAATTTGGTTTGCATTTCTTTTGGTGACTGTCTTTCTCCCTTACAAGTAAGCTCCACGGTAACAGGGATTAAGCTTGGCAGAACAGGTGTGTCACACACACACACACACACACACACACACACACACACACGAATTCGTGAAGGTTGTTGAATTAGTGAGTAAATGAAGGAAGACATTTAGAAATAATACAAATGCCTGTTTTCAAAGTACATATATCAAAACTATGAGTGCACTCAAATTGACTAGCTCTTTCCAAATAAAGTGATGGCTTCTATTAGAATTCATACCTGTGACTAACTAAACTACTAAAATTCCCCATTAGTGTGAGAGATAGTAGTTTAGCAGGTCTGCGAAACACTGTAGTAAACTGATCTCCAGAATGGAGTTGTGCGTCCCAAGAAGGACAAACAATGTATTGGTGTGCCGGGGGTTGGGAGGGGGGTTGGGATCCTCAAGTGCCATTCTACATGAATGAGAGAGGGAGGGAGGGCAAGATTTGTAAAGGAAAGGGAAGGAGAAGAAAGGGCTTTTTCTTACTATTTAACAAATGGACTGACACTAGCATGCTTTTTAATTGGTATGTCAGAATAGTCCGGGGGGCGCACAGAGGTAGCCTGAGGAAAAGGAAGGAGAGCCTAACATAGGAGCGCTGACCAGAGCTCCAGTACGCCGTCCCTTAGTCTTAATTTATTTCCAAATAGTGCAGTCGGCAAACAGATCTAAAGATAATGTTACCTAGATCTCAAAATAAAATGTATGCCCCCAAATCTACAAACAGACTTAAAAAGAATCCTAAAATAAACCAAAGCAAGCAAGGAACGACCATAACAAAAGCAAACACATGCCTGCAATCTGAAGATAGCACTAACATGCAAAGATAAATGGACGGTAAGATAGTATTAGAATTGGCATCTTGGACTCTTGATTAGAGCTATTTTACTTTGTAAAGCCATGCCAATTGGTGGTATTCTTCTTAAAAGATATTTAATACAATGCTTCATCCCACCAGAAGGCCATCACTGGGGAGGGGAAGTGTTAAAACAATCTGAACTGTATTAGTGGAATATCCTACTGTTTTCTTGGTTCTTGCCCCAATACTTTTAGGAACAACCACAGAGTCTTCACAAAATGACTTCTCATTGAGTACAATATTTGAAGTGCTTAGGCAGAACCATCCTGATTGCTATTATCTTTAAGTAACAGACGAAGGAACAGGCAGTGCATTGAAATGTTACATAACCTACCTAATTCAATTCTATTCGTAACTGAAAGAAATGCACTAGCTAAAACCCTAGGCTTTAACCTGAAGTGTCATGTTAGGGAGGAAGGAGAAAGGAGAGAAAGAGCTGGGCCTACAGAAAGGTTTTGTTCAGTTTTGTTTTGTTATTTTCTTTTCTTTCTACAGATTCATAAAACATTCAAAGAATCAGATTTAAGAAATCAATTCATCAGAGCTCATGTCGTCAAACTCAGGTGAGTAGAACTATATATCAATATACATGCCTAGAGGCAATTTGGCTATTTGACTTTTGCTTCCCCAAACTCCAACCAAACTCACTGCCATCAAGTTCTTTCTGACTCATAGCAAACCTACAGACAGGACCGGACTGTGCCTGTGGGTCTCTGAGATACTAACCCTCAGAGTCCCCAGAAGGACAAAGCCTCATCATGCTTCCATGGAGCAGCTGGTGGTTTGGAGTTTCTGACCTTGTGACCCACGATGCCATCAGGGTTTATGACTTTTGTTTAGAGAATGAAACAAAATGAGTTCACCCACTTTATTATAATATTATGAGAAGGGTGGCCTAGATATCGTTCAAAAGAGTGCTGCATATCATTTACTTATGGACTAACCCATTGCTGTTAAGTTGTTATAACTCATAATGACCCTAAAGGACAGAGTAGAATTGCCTCATAGGATTTCCAGGGTTATAAATATTGATGCAACCACACTGGCACATATTTGTCCCACAGAGGGTTGGTAGGTTCTACCCAAAGACCTTTAGTTTGCAGCCAAGTGTGTAACCACTATTCCACCACATCTCACTTATGGTATGAAAAACAATGCCGTCAACTCAATTCTAACTCACAGTGACCCTGTAGAGCAGAGTAGAATGGATCCTTGGGGTTTCCGAGACTAAATCTTTATAGGAGAAGGCAATCTCTTCTTTCTCCCTTGGAGTAGCTGGTTTTGAACTGCTGGCCTTATAGTCTATAGCCCAACAGTTAACCCACAACTTGGCCAGAGCTACTCTATTTACAGTACACATAGACTTTGATTTAATTCTCACTAGTTCGTTGGGTATGAAATGAAATTTCATGGTTTTACTTTTATATTGATAAAGAACCTTAGTTGGGAATGAATAGCCCAGTGCCACTTCTCATTAGCTGTGTAACCAGAGGCAAGTTATTTAACCTCTGTGTCTCCCGTTGTAAAATGAGGTACAACAGCAGCACTTCTCTCACGTTGTTGTTGTTAGGTGCCACTGAATCGTGTTGTGCTTTAGTGAGGACGCCAAGGCTTTCCGCTGTGTGGCTCATAACACACTGTCAATGGCCTTGAAAAGAATGAGAATTAGTGAACACTTTATGGTGCTTATGTGGAGCTAATTCATGGGTCAAGAGCCAACTATACAGCCAAAGCAAGAGAATAATGCATGGCATACATTCAGGAAAAGTGTGCATCAGGGTTGTCCCTCTCACCATACTTATGCGATCTGTGTGCTAAGCAAATTCAGAGAAACTGGAGTATATGAAGAAAGTTGTGGTGTCAGGATTGAAGGAAGGCTTTTTAACAACATGAGATATGAAGATAGCACACCTTGCTTGTTGAAAGTGAGGAGGACTTGTGGCATTTGCTGATGAAGATCAAAGATGGCAGCTTCAGGAGGGACTACAACTCAATATAATGAAGACCAAAATCCTCCTCACAACTGGACCAGTAGGTAACATTATGAAAAATGGAGCAAGGATTTATGTTGTCCAGAATTTTATCTTGCTTAGACCCACAATCAATGCTTATGGATGTGGTAGTCAATGAATCAAAATATATGTTGCATTGGTAAATCTGCTGCACAAGACCTCTTTAGAGAATTGAGAAGCATCAAGGTTACTTTGAGGACTAAAGTGCCCCTTTCCCAAGCTATAGTATTGTCAATTACCTCATATGCATATGAAAGTTGGACATTGAGTAAAGGAAACCAAAGAAGAATTGATGTGTTTTAATTTTGGTTCCCGTAAAGAATATTGAAAATACTGTGGATGGCTAAAAGGACAAACAAATCTGTCTTAGAAGGAGTACAGCCAGAGTACTCTTTAGAGGCAAGGATGGTGAGACTTCATCTCACATACTTTGAACGGGTTGTCAGGAGAGATCAGCGCCTGTAGAAGACATCAAGCTTGGTCAACAGAGGGGTAGCGCAAAAGAAGAAGGCAATGATTCCAGGAGGGTAGGGTAAGGGAAAGGGGTGGAAGGGTGGAGGGAGGGGGAACAGATAGCAATGAGAGCAGAAAACCCCTCTTGGGGGGATGAATACCAAGATAGTAGGTGAAGGAATAGAGTAGGTGGTATAAGATATGTAAAATAATAATAGCAATACATAGTATATTAAGGGTACATGGGGGAAGGGAAAAAAGAGGAGCTGATATCAAAGGGCTCAAGAAGAAAGATAACGTTTTGAAATTGTTGATGCCAACATTTGTACATGTCCGCTTGATATAATAGATGTATGGATTGCTACAATATATGTAAGAGCCCCCAATAAAATAATTTATTTTAAAAATTTTAATTAAAAATAAAAGAAGAAGGCCCTCAACAAGATGGATTAATCCAGTGGCTGTAAAAATGGGCTCAAGGGTAGGACGATGCAGGACTGGTCAGTGTTTTGTTCTGTTTTTCATGGGGTCTCTATGGTTGGAACAATCCTCCAGGGAATCCCCTCTCACCCCTTATTTTCTTATTATTGTTGGGGGCTTTTGTTTTATATGTTTTTCTGCACATGAAATCCAGGACAGTAACTGGATCAATAGTTTCAAAGGGTTCGTTTAGTTTCCTAGGCTTTGGCAGGAGAGGTTGACGGGAATGAGAAGGCAGTAACAGGGAAACAAGAAAGAAGAAAATGCTCTAAAATTGATGGCGGTGATGATTGCACAACTCTTTTTAAGATGATTAAACCAATGAATTACATGACATGTGACTAAAACTATTTTAAGAAAAGACTGAGTCTGGGATAATAAATGGTAAATCATAATGAAAAATAAATGCCATTTTGATTAACTTATTTCACTCAGTATATAATATACATTCAACATTCTTTGACAATAATTTGAAAGCTTCATTGCTTCTTCTATATCCCTTATTCATTGTTCAACTTTCAAATGCATATAAGGCAATTGTAAGTCCTGTGGTTTGAGTCCGGGGATCGTAGTCTTCAAAGTGACATTTGAGGGGCTCTCTGGTGCAGTAGATTTGCCGAAGGTCATTTCATTCATTGACTGCTTCTTTCAGGGGCATTGGTGTGGACCCTTCCATCTTTCCTCCTTGTATCGTGCTGTGGTAGTCTGCTCGTCCAGTTGTGGGGATTTGGGTCAGGTACACTGGTTACAATCCGCAGTGAAGGCTGTGCTCTTGAAGCCCTCTTCGGTATCAGCAAGCAGCAGTGGGTCAACTGCACTGCTAGGTTGTGAGCGACCGTCCTCCTTTCCTGGTGCTGTGCTCTTCTTCACAGAGTTCACCTTCTTCTATGATTTGCTCAACAAACAGAATTAATAGTTAAAATGATAATGTCTCTACTTGTTTCCAATACAGGGCACTTAAAACTTTAACTTTTCAATTTCTTCCACGCTCTTATTTCGGACTGCTTTAGGTATGCATTTTGCCTGTTCAAGTCTCCTAACTTCTCTTTGATTCGCTTCATCTCTTTATCTGAGTTTCGTATTGTGCAAATTCTTCATGTCCACAGTTCTCTATTTCTGTTCAGCTTTGTCTCATATTATATGTAACCCATCAAGTTTTAAAATTTCAATAATTATGTATTTCTTTCTTAAAACTCTAATAGTTTCTTTTGAAAATCTACTTGATCTTTTTTAATAATGCAAAAACCTTCTCATAGTTAGGATTCCTTTTATGTCATTAGTCATTTTAAGTATACTTATCTGACCATCTATTAACATCATTATGAGAAGCTATTGAGAATACCCTCATTCTAGGCCATAGTTCATTGTCTACCTTTGTAATTGTGTGTTTATCTTTAATTTCATCTGATCAATGGATATCTATCAATTTTTTATTTAAAATCCATACCACTGAAGTATTTTCTACTGTCAAACACTGTAAAATAATCAGAAACAGTTATATCACTGGGGAGGGTGATTAATTTCTTAGTTCAAGGGATCTCAATTAAAAAAAAAACTCACTGCATGGAGTCCGTGTGGACTCATAGTAACCCTATAGGACAGGATAGAATTTCCCCAGTGAGTTTCCTAGGCAGTCACTTTTTTTAAGAGAATAGAAATCACATCTTTCTCCCTTAAGGGATCTAGGATCATAAAAATGTAAAACATAATATTAATACAAAGACAAATCATTAATCCAGCAAGCCTCATGATTATGAATTTGAAGGAGAAACTTTATTATCTAGAATTGAACCCTCTGAAACGAATACTTTTTTATTTTGTGTTTTCTTTGTAATCCATACTTGCACTGATAATCCTTTGAGAATCTTTGACTATCTACTGAAGCCACCTATATCAATCCCTATCTACTGAAGCCACCTATATCAATCCCCAGACCTGATCTCTATGTAACTGATAGACTCAGGCCTATTGAATATTCTAAAGTTTACTGCCTTAATATTCAGGTTTTGTTTTGTTTTGTTTGGGGGGGGAGGCATTTCCTTTCCTTTCTGCGTGAACTCAATTTCGCATTTCAAGTGTCATTTATTCCTACTTATCTTGCATTTCAGGTTGCTTTATATGGAGTTATTTATACTGTTTTATCTAGCACCTCTGGTAGCATTACATGCTTGAATATGTTTTTCAAGTTATTTAGACTTCCCTGTTGCTGGAAATGGAAGCTGCCATTACTTGTTCAGGGTCTTGCTCTCCATCCAGGTTTCAGGGTCCACGGCAGTCACAACTGCCTGGATTGGTCACAGCCAATTCCTGAAACTTAGAAGAGTGCCTAGTCCTATGAAGTGCAGAGCTACTATTGACTAAATAAATATTAAATAAACATCTAGCATGAATAGGAGATAAAATTTCAACTAAGATAAGAGGGAAAGCCTACAGGACAGGAAGGGAGAAAACCCTCACAAGTAGAAATAAAAGCATCACGAATAAACTTGCCTTATGTAAAACATAGCCTAAGTACAGTTCAGAAAGAACAGCCAGTTTCTGGGGGAAGTAGTTTACACAGTCATTTACATGGAAAGAAAAGAAATTATCTAGATTTTCAATAATTATAGACCTTAATCCAAAAAAAAAAAGAAAGAAAGCTTACTATGAGGAATGCGGGTGATTATTTGAAACGAGAAATACAATTTTCTCATATGACTACAAACTTTAAAATTTGTTTTTAAAGGTCAATGAATACCAGAAACTTAGCTATCTCTCACATAAATATTGAATCTCAATTTTTTATAAGTTTGCTTAAAGAAAAATTTCCCAGTTATTTCTGAAGTCTAGGAATAGCTAGTACTCCACTGGTACTTACTATGCACTAGGCACCCTTGCCAAATTATGCCAAATTATGCACACATTAATTGATGTGGTCTTCATAATCATTCATTTTACAACGGAGGAAACTTAGATACAGAAAAATCTACCGGTTTTAGATCACACACCCGAAGTCACAGAGCAAATGGCAGAGTGGTATTCACACTCCGGAATACTTATTGCAAACTGGGCTATACTGTATGATGGGCAGAGTGTATTGTGCTTTTCAGTTACATTTATGGGATACTACTGTGATACCATATTGAACATACAAACACTGTTATTTGAATATTTCAAAATGAAATTCCTCAAATTACTTTCTAAAAGGCTTGGTCAAGAGGCGTAAATAAATACAACAGCAGAAATTGATCATTGTTATCTTTTTTCATCTTTGTTGTTCACAGGCAAGATAATAATGGCGTGGTGATAGCAGATGTTGTCATGAAGTTTCTATTCACTAGATATAACAACGGGGATTCCATGAAAGGAAAAATTGAGCCTGTTTTACAACAAATGCTGAATAACTCTGGAAACTTGGAAATAAATCCTTCATCAGAGATCACTTGTAAGTATTCTTTTATATATCGCTTTCTTTTAATATCTAACTTGAATTTTACCAGCTCTCTTCCTTCCTTGTCATTAAACTTAGTGAAAATATGATATTATTTTTCCTTGGAAGGTTATGAAAATAATGTGTTAATAATCTAGATGTAATATATAATTCTAATATAACACATTGGAAAGAAGTTAATGGTTAAATAATAATTTGGCTTCTGTAAATTAGACATCAAGCAGGGAAGGACATGGCATACCATATAGTTTATAAAATTTAGTCAGTCAATTTAGGAGTGAGTAAATTGAAACAGAAAGGGAGAGAATATAGTGTGAGCATTGCTAGGCTCCTTCCAGACAGTTCCAGCTCACAGAGATCCTATGGACAACAACCCAAGGACCATCGCCAGGCCCTGTGCCATCCTCGCCATCATTGCTATAGATACTAAGTCAATGCAGCTCGCTGAGGCTCTTTCTCTTTTTTGCTGACACTGTGCTAGAGAGTCCTGTCCAGCGACCGATATTTCCTGATAACATACCCAAAAAATAGGTGAGATGAATTTTGCCATCCTCACTTCTACGGAACATTTTGATCGCACAATCTTCCAAGACAGATTTGTTATTTTTCTGACAGTCTGTGCTATATTTAATATTCTTTATCAATATTACAATCCAAAGGCATCAGTTCACTTTTGGTGCTATTTCTTGTCCAGCTTTCTCATATAATTGAAGCTCCCGGTCATCAAGTCGATTCTGACTCATAGTTACCCTGTAGGACAAGGTAGAACTGTCCCTTTTGAATTTCCAAGATTGTGATTCTTTATGGGAGAATAGAGTGTCATCTTTCTCCCACAGAGCACTCTAGTCACCAACTGCTGGCCTTGAACTTAGCCAACCAACACCATCAGGGGTCCCCATGTATACAAGGTGACTAAAAACATCAGGGCTTTGGCCAGGTACATTTTAGTTATCAAAATGACATGTACGCTTTTTAACACATTAAAGAGGTCTTTTGCAAATTTGCCCAATTCAATATGTCATTTGACTTCTTGTCTGTAGCTTCCCTGTAAAATTAACCCCACAATAATTTCATTATTCCCCGTTTATCATTATGATACTTCTTGGTCCAGTTATGAGGATTTGGGGTTTTATGTTGAAGTGTAATCCATGCTAAAGAGTGTAGTCGTTGATCTTCACCAGTAAGTCCTCTTCACCTTCAGCAACCAGGAGTGTGCTGTTTGCATATCACAGGTTTTCAATATGGCTTTCTCCCATCTTGATGTAACTATTATTCATGTAGAATAGTTTGCCTCGTCATACAGATTGAATATGTAAAGGCTACAACACAGAAGCAAGCTTTTCCTAATTTTCAACCTTTCGATGTTCTTTTGCTCTATGTACAAGGGTAGGGTTACTGTACTTTGTTAAGTTATATCTGCAGCATTGATAATTGTACTAGCATATATAAAATATTTACCATGTCATGTCTCAAGGCCTTGCTTGTATTTTTGTCTCTTCAACTAAATTGCTTGACTTGATTATAGATAGCTGTTGAATATTTGATAAAGATTTAAACCGAGGCCAGGGAAATGTGAGGAGAGGGAGAGCGGGCCGCTGGCATTTCGCACCTAGGCGCTCTCGCCACGATGAGCAGCACCCTAGCCAAGATCGCGGAGATCAAAGCCGAGATGGCTAGAACTCAACGGAACAAGGCCACAGCACACTACCTAGGGTTGCTCAAGGCACGTTTGGCTAAGCTTCGCAGAGAACTCATTCCTCCAAAAGGCGGTGGCGGCGCGGGGGACCAGGAGAAAGTTTTGATGTGGCCAAGACAAGTGATGTGCGAATTGGATTTCTCGGTTTTCTATCTGTGGGGAAGTCAACGCTGCTCAGTAATCTGGCAGGGCTGGATTCTGAGGTGGCAGCCTACGAGTCCACTACTCTGACCAGTGTGCCTGGTGTCATCAGATAGAAAGGTGCCAAGATACAGCTCTGGATCTCCCTGGAATCATTGAAGGTGCTAAGGATGGCAAAGGTAGAGGTCGCCAAGTCATTGCAGTGGCCCGAACCTGTAACTTGATCCTGATTGTTCTGGATGTCCTGAAGCCCTTGGGGCATAAGAAGATCATTGAAAATGAACTGGAAGGCTTTGGGATTCGTTTGAACAGCAAGTCCCCAAACATCGGCTTTAAGAAGAAGGACAAGGGAGGCATGAACCTGACAGCCACTTGCCCTCAGAGTGAGCTGGATGCGGAAACCGTGAAGCGCATTCTGGCTGAATACAAAATTCATAATGCTGATGTGACTCTGCAGAGCGATGCCACAGCCGATGACCTTATTGACGTGGAGGAAGGAAACGGAGTCTATATCCCCTGTATCTATGTGTTAAATAAGATCGATCAGATCTCCATTGAGGAATTGGATATCATCTATAAGGTGCCTCACTGTGTGCCCATCTCTGCTCACCACCGCTGGAATTTTGATGACCTTTTGGAAAAGATCTGGGGCTACCTGAAACTAGTGAGGATTTACACCAAACCCAAAGGCCAGTTACCAGATAATACTTCCTGGTTGTGCTGCCCGACTCCAGAACAACAGTGGAGGATTTCTGCATGAAGATTCACAAAAACCTTATCAAAGAATTTAAATACGCTCTGGTGTGGGGTCTCTCTGTGAAACATAATCCTCAGAAAATGGGGAAAGATCACACATTGGAGGATGAAGATGTCATTCAGATTTTGAAGAAGTGACACCCTCCCATATCGCCACTGCGGGGCCAGCGCAGCAGCACCATTGCCCATGACCAAGCACCCTGCACCAAACCCGTTGGCTTTGGCAGCGGTTGGATCAGGCTTTGGGGGAGGGGAATGGAAGCTCCCACACTGGAACCTCTCCTCTTGGTGTCACCTTGTACGTTGACCTGCATGACGGACCTGGTCTGCCAAAAAAAAGATTTAAACCAAGAGGACTTAAACTTTATTTAGTGTGCATATCAATAAATTGGGAAGAATGTTTCAAGGCTTGTTCCTTAGAGATTCTTCCATAGATCCTTCAGGGAGCCACCCCTTTCTGACACTAATTATCTGAGTACAATGGCTTGGGAAATCATTGTGAAATAATGTACATTGTATTGAATTGTACATTGTAATGTACATTGTATTGAATTCATTCTCATTCTTCTTTTTAATTCTAGCAATCCCTGGTAACGTTGCAACAGAGATTTTTACCAAAGGTAAGTTCTCAAACTATTTTGTTGGTATGAATTACTAAAACAGAAAGTAAAATATCATATGCAAGCCTACTGTATTCCTTGCCAAGGCAGTGTATTGCTTTTAATTCATTGCAGTTACACTTTTTATTTTTATTCAACAAATTCCACAAGTAAAAGTAAGTGACAATCTTCAAGCCATTGTAATCATTCTCACCATCCTCTTCTGAGTAGTTCTACCTACATTAAGATACATTTACTGCTGCTCAGATTGCTGTCTAATCTTTCAAGTTACCATTATCACTTTGATCCTATATAGAGATTTCTTTAAAAAGCATAATGCCCAAGCAGACATTTTTTCTAGTTAAGCTAAATCCATGCCTTGATGCTTGATTCATCCAAAGGTGTTATTTCTAGGAGTTCATTCCTTCAGTTTTCATTCCAGTTTCATTAATTGTGGTAAGACAAGATATTTCACATGATTTCAAATTTTAATTCATTAAGATTTACTTTGGAAATTCACATATTGTTTGTTTGGGAGAACATTCCATATAGACTTGAGAAAAATGTACATTTTACAGTTAATCAGTGGACTATTCCACATTTGTGTAAGACCTAATTGGTGTAGACTGTTTTTTAAATTATCTCTCTCTCTCTTTATAATCTTATTTCTGATTATTCTATCTATTATCTAAATTGAGGGATGGCATATATTTCTCGTTTCAGTTCCCTCAATGTTTGCTTCATACATTTTTTGACTCTGTCTTGTTAAGTATATCTACATTCACACTTATTGTAGCATCTTGATAGGCTAAGCCTTTTATCAATATCTAAGGGTAAACTATATGTATATAGAAAAGTGTTGCTACTAGGGCTCCCATGCATACATACATGATCCTCCTCAATAGTGGAATATTACTTTAAAAAAATACCTTGGTGGTTCTGTCATAGACGCAGTATCACTAGTCTAGAGCCAACCCAGCAATGGAAACAGTTGTTGCTTTGCTAGTTGTTGCTTTACCCGTAGTTATTTACTAATAACCCAAATGAAAAACCAAACTCATTGCCATCCAGTTGATGCTAATTCATAGTGACTCTGTGGAACAGGGTAGAACTGCCCCTGGGAGTTTCTGAGACTCTAACTCTTTAAAAGAGCAGAAATCCCACCTCTCTCTTGAGGAGTGTTGGGTAGTTTTGAACGACTGACCTTGCAGATTGCAGCCCAAGGGTAGAGAGCAACAATTGAATGCTCAACCCACCAGGTTAACTCAGGACGTTGCTGTTCTCATGGGCTTTCTTAGGACTTCAGACACACACTTGGAATTCTCATTCACCCTGGATGCACCTAAAGCAACTCCTTTTTGAGAAAATGGTTGGTAATATGAAACAATTCTGGAAGTGGTTTGTAACCTGCCTGGAAAATTTCATACCAGTAAAAAAATTAAACTCCCTTATCTGAGTGGTGTGTCTCAAATTTTATTGTGAGTACAACCCACCAAAGCATCTCCTTAAAATGCATCTTCTGATTCAGTCCCTGGTGTGGATCCCAGAGCATTTCCAACAAGCCCCACCTCAATGCTCATGCTATAGCCCACTGATTGGGTGATAAGACATAGATAAGGAAGAAAGACCCTGTGCCGTGAGTTAGGCCACCTAGAACTATTCATAAAGAACTCCAGAAAATTCTGTAGCTACTCCATATTGTGAATTTCAAATGCCAATTCATAATTAAGAAAAGTTCTAAAATTTCATCCATTGGCAATAGTAACCACAAATGTATTCTAAAAATGTATGCCTTTGGAAAGCCTAGCATGTCCTAGTGTACAATAAATTCTTGCATATTTGTGAGTTGTAGATGAAATGGAGAATGTAGGACAAGGATTTAAAACAAAAAAAGGCAACAAGAGCATGAATGATGTGGAAATTATTGTGGTATTTCTCAAATGCAAGTGAGTCATGATCTCCCTAGATCATTAATGCACTTTTTTTACTAGAATGTGGTGCTCGTCCAGACCTAATAACATTGTCTGATGAAAGGATCATAGGAGGTGTTCAAGCCGAGGAAGGAGACTGGCCATGGCAGGTCAGTCTGCAGCTCCACGGGGCTCACCACTGTGGAGGCATCCTGATCAGTAACACATGGATCCTGACAGCAGCCCACTGCTTCAGACGGTAAGCTACCTGCCATGTGTTAACAACAAGCAGCAGCATGTACATGAGGATTTGACCCACTGCCCCCAAGGTTCACCATGACTGGATTGAGTTAGAAATAATTCAATTCAATTCACAAAGGGAATAACTCTTTTATTCCTATTCATGATAGCAAAATTTCTATTGTTTCCTTCTCCTTGGCAACCATTTACTGTTATTTCTGTTTCAGGTAATAGAGCAGAATGTTTAAATACTAGTTACAGAAATTTACTGGACTTCTCTAAGCTTCCACTACCCCCTTTCCCAAATTACGGATAATATAATCTATGTTTTAATAGTATTTATATGCTTAAATAAGCTAATGTAAATACATGCTAAATGTTAACAAATGAATTATTTTGAGAGATCTGCTCATTGTTTCCTGTAAGTTGATCAGTAAGTTAATAACTGACATCACTGATCTAAGCCATGAATTTATTCTTAAAAAAAAAATCACTGAGCATCTACTATGAGCGCAGTGTTATGTATTATAGCTGCTAATATTAAAAAGACACTTTCTCTGCCTTCTACATTATAATGTTAGAGGTATACATGTACAAAAATAAAAATCAATTGTAATGAGTACCCTTTACTACTGGGGCTGTGAACCCAAAGGTCAGCAGTTCAAAACCTTCAGTCGCTCTTCCAAAGAAAGATAGGGATTTCTATTCCCATAAGCAGTTAGAGCCTCAGAAACTCACAGGGGCAGTTCTACCCTGTCCTATAGGGTCGCTATGAGTCGGCATCGACTCTGGTAGTGAGGGAGGGAGTATCGCAAACAAAATGAATTTAAACTACTTACAGAGATATCTGTCAAGGTGACTAAAGGTGACTGCTAATACTAGGGTGAAAGGTTGTCAGAGGTGAGTAGATTGCATAATCTTATTCCATTGGTATAAAGAAAAAGTCGTATTGCTCAGGAAGGAACTTTTTAGACTTCGGCAGGTTTTCTTCTTATTCTTGGAACAACCTAGACCCTAGCAATTGTTTTCTAATAGACTTAAATGCAAAGAGATCACTCAGAAAAATGAAGACCAGCTGAATTTACTGGATCCCTAATCAAATCTATTCTTTTGGACTCTTTGAATGACATACCACTGCCTAAGTTTCAACTTCATTCCCACACATCTAAAGCCCTTCACAAATAGACCACTCTACACTTATTTCTCAAAGCATGAACTTTGAGCTTCAGTCAAACAACATTCTTCTCTAAATTCTGCTTACACATTCCTGCCTATGAGCATTTGCTCAATTTGTTTCCTCTCCCTGGAATGTTAAGATCCCTTCCAAATCTCCATTTCTTCCTACTGGAATTCTATTAAGTGTTCATTATTGTGTTAGTCTGGGTTGACTAGAGAAACAAATCCAGAGACACTCACATGTGTGTAAGACAGAGCTTTATATCAAAGAGCAATTGTATATTAAGAAAACATCCCAATCCATTCCAGATTAAGTCCACAAATCTAATATTAGCCCATAAGTCCACTACTAGTCCATAAGTTCCTCTTCAAACTCATGTAGCCACTCTCAATGATGCCAATGCAGGAAGATCACAGGCCAGTGGGTGAAAAGTCTGTGGATCTAGTAGTGGGGGAAGCATCTCAGCATGGCCCCACATGGCTTGCAAACAGGAAAATGAAGAGAGAGAGATGGCAGAATGGAGAAAGGAACTTCCCAGAATGCTCATGAGAAGACCATGTCCCCAAGGAGGCATCATCAGGCAGTGACCTGATTGACAGGATAAACTCCACCCCTTCACTCTTTTAACAAGTTGACATGAAATTGTGTAACTGCCACAATTATCTTCCAAAATTTGTGTGCAGATTTAAGGACAGCATAGTTTCTAGGAATAAAAAAAATTTAGGAGATTCTAATTCTGAATTTTTAAAAGTATATAATTCAGCATTCCCAGGGACAGCCAATAAATCTGAAATTTATTCTAAAAAATATTTCCAGAGTTTGTTTCAGATTTATTGCTTTTTCACAGGTCATACAAGAAATAAAATTTACAAGTCATTTCAATTTTCATTGTCATGCAAATGACCAATAAATAGGAATGGCACAGTTGTCTGTTGTTGTTGTTATTGTTGTTGTTGTTAGGTGCCATCTATAGAGCTTTGACCCTTAACTACAAAAGGAAACATTGTCTGGTCCTGCACCATCAGCACAATTGTTGCTCTGTTTGAGCCCATTGTTGCAACCACTGTGTGAATCCTTCTCCTTGAGGATCTTCCTCTTTTTTGATGCCCTTCCACTTTACCAAACATTATGTCCTTCTCCAGGGATTGATCTCTCCTGACAACATGTCCAAAGAATGTGAAACAAAGTCTTGCTGTTCTTGCTTCCAAGGAGCATTCTGGCTGTATTTCATCCAAGACACATTTTTTGTTCTCCTGGCAGTCCACAGTACTTTCAATATTCTTCAACAACACCGTAACTCAAGTCCATAGAGTCTTCTCTAGTTATCCTTATTTAATGCCCTAACTTCACCTTCACATGCACATGAGGCGATTGAAAATACTCGAACTTGGGTCAGACACACCTTAGTGCTCAAAACACCATCCTGGTTCTTCAATACTTTAAAGAGCTCTTGCACAAAAAAAGTCAATGAGTAGGAATAGCACTCATTTCTGTCAATCACCCCCAAACTCTAGGAACCAGAAATGCCAATGTATGGACTTCGCAGGCATATAACATAACCAAAGATACATAGAAATAGCACTGTTCTGATCCCTATTCTGACCTAAACACAAAAATATAAAGGCTATGCCAATAATAAAAACCACAATGATAAACATCTCCAATACTTACAAAAGGAATGAGTAACTACAAAGATTAATTCTCAAGAGCAAACTACAATTCATTTTTTGTCCATCAATTCACTATCTGGACTCTAAAATTCTATCCAGTTGTTATTTTTTTGCAAATTTTTTATTCTACATTTGGAGCAATGTTTTGCTAATCAACTCTCCAGTTCATGAGCCTTTATTTTCTCTTCTTTCACGTTTTTCCCTGTTGTTCCTGAGCCCCACTTCAAACTGCCCTACTCATGTAGGTCTCACTCTAATATATATGAAATATGTCTTTTAAAATACATGAACCTGCAACACCTATTAAAAAATCTATGTTTTTTATGTATGTATACTTAATTTCTATAAGTCTCCTTTTTTTTTTAATCAATTTATTGGGGCTCATAGATCAATTGTGTAAAGCACATCTATACATTTGTTGCCCTCATCATTCCCAAAATTCGCTTGCTTCTTGGGTTCCCGGAATCGCTCATTTTCCATTTTCCCCCACTCCCCTTCCCTTCCTCCTCCCCTTTCCCCCATGCACCCTTAATAATTTATAAATTATTATTGTATCCTATATTACACTGTCCGGCGTCTCCCTTCACCCACCCCGCTGCTGCCCATCCCCCAGAGAGGAGGCCATACGTGGCTCCCTGTGATCCATTCCCCCTTACTACATCCCCCTTCCCTCCTGGTATCGCCACTGTCACCCCTGGTCCTGAGAGGTGTGGTGAAGAAGGCTGATGGTGCCCGGCTATCGAGACCTATAGCGTCTGGGGACCTAAAGGCTTGAAAGTAAACAAGCGGCCATCTAGCCCAGAAGCAACAAAGCCCACATGGAAGCAGCACACCAACATGTGTGATCATGAAGGGCCAAAGGGACCAGCCTTTAAACACCAAAGGCGGGGAGAAAAGTCATATCCTTGTCAATGAGGGTGGCGCGCGATGGAGACCCAATGCCCATCTCCAGACAACTGGACATACCTTGCAGAAGGGTAGTGGGGAGATGAGTCACTTAGGGTACAGTATAGCAATAATGAAACCCACAACCTTCCTCTAGTTCTTAAACACTTCCTCCCCCCAACTACCAGGACCCCAATTTTGCCTTGCAGACCTGGTTAGACCAGATGATGCACAGCGGTACAGATGGGAATATAAGTCTCCTTTTGTGCTCCTTGTCTCATTGTGACTGGTGGTGCATCGCATAGTACACACCCACCGCATTTCCTTAATCTAACTTCCATTTCCACAAAGAGCACACAAATACAGATCCTCACACAGGGATCTTTATTAGCCTGGAGGTACTTCTTTAAGATATGTATCCAGAAGTATATAGGCAGACTGCTGAGTACTTGCCAAAAGGAAATAATGCTTTCCTAAAGGACTATAGCAGGCCACATCTTCACCAATAATGCAAAAGAAATACAATTTCCTCTCCTCCTCACCGGAATCTGGTTTCAGTCACCTGTCTAATTTTTGTCAACCTCTTGAATATAAATTAAAATCTCAGTATTGTTATCTTTTGAATTTTCAAATGATTAGTGAGTTTGAATATCCTTCCATATATCTATTTGCTGTTTGGACTTACCCTTCTATGAACTGCCTATTCATATCCTTTTTTAAATTTTAAACAGGTTTACCTGTCATTTTCCTTTTGTTCACAATAGCTTTTTGTAAAGTCTACAAGAATGCTAGCTATCTTGCAGTGCAAATATTTTTCAATCTCTTAGGAGCCTGCTGATATAGTCAGGGAAGTGTTATCACAGAACATTATAAATATGATTATGATAGACATAGCTTACATGTGATGCTTTATTTTATATCCTTTTGAGCCATTTGAAAGTTGTGAAGGGGAAACACACAGAGCAAGCCTCTGGTGAACCTCTTCTGCCCGTGGAGCAGGGACAGAAGAGCCTTGCTGTCTTGCGGAGTGCATTGGAAAGTGGATTGTGGTCCATGTGATGAGGCTAAAGTTTAACACTGGATTATCATTTGATCTCCATTTTGACCCATTTTAAAGTTGTTCTAGTTTTTAATATTTTCTACTTTCTTTTCTATTGAGATCTTTCTCTACTTCATTTTGTTGTGTTAGTTTTTTGTTTGTTTGTTTGATGTGGGGGGCTTTTTTGTTATGCTTTCCTGTATATAAAATCCTGGATAGATAAACCTATCTATAGAGACAGTTAACAAGATTAATAGTTTCTTGGGGATAAGGCAGGTGAGGTTGTGGGAAAATGGGGGCTAATTACAATGAATACAAGAAAAAAAAATTCCAAAATTGATTTTGATGATGATTATACAACTCTTTTTGATAAGATAGAATGATTGGATTATATGATGTATGGATTGTGTGCTAATAAAACTGTTTTAAAAGAATTTTAACACACAAATATGTTTTCTAATATTTTTCTCTGCATTCTTAGACAACCGATCATTCATTCTGCCACAAAAGAACTAAACACATTTACTAGCTTGCAATGCAGAAATGTCACTCAAATAGTTCTTGCACTGGGAGGAGGAGGGTGGGGCAAACATGATTACCCAAACCTTTGACATGTTCACTCATTTTCTATTCCAACAACATATTTTCTTTCTTTCTTTTCTTTTCTTTTTTTTTTTTTAGGAACTCTGATCCTAATTCATGGACAGCCACCTTTGGTATTTCTACAAAATTTCCTAAATTAAGAATAAGAGTGAGAACTATTATAATCCACAACAATTATAGACCAGAATTTCATGAAAACGATATTGCAGTTATTCAACTTATCTCAGGAGTCTCCTTCACCCAAAATATCCATAGGGTGTGTCTCCCAACACCTACTCAGAACATTTTGCCTGGTTCGACTGCATATGTAACAGGATGGGGATCTCGAAAATATAGCGGTAAGTATCTCAGAGAACAAAACAAAACAGAAACAAGCACTGTCTTATTTTCTAGTAAGCACATTTTTTTAAAATTAGGGAATATCTGGAAATCAGGTTCTCTGGAGAAACTCTCCGATATTTGGATCATCCTAAATTCTGGTTAGCCCGGAGTTCCTCATCAAAGAAAAAAATGCTGTTGGAAACCGTGAAGAATTCTCAAATATTGTCAAAGTGTGTGTAAGGGAAATGATTAAGATACTCTTTATGACCTAGTGGTGTGATAGGTACACATTGGGCTGCGATCCACATGGTCAGCAGTTTAAAACCACCAGCAGATCTACAGGAGGAAGACTGGGCTTTCTACTCCCATAAACGGTTGTAGTCTTGGAAATGCGGGGGAGAAGGGGGGGGGGGTGGCTATGAGTCAGCATTGACGCTATGGCAGTGAATTGGGGACTTTTTGGTTGTTAACGACCACAGTTACAGAGACGCTCTAGCACTCAAACGACTCTCCTTCGTTCAAACCGTATTTGTTTATGTATCTTTTAAGGGTATTTATAGCATTTGGAAATCAGCAAGTCTAGTCTCTTCATCAGACAGATTGACACCGTAGCGAAAGCAATGAACTCAAACATTAGCAATGGTCATGAAAGCAGCCCGTGACTGATCAAAGTTCTGCTTTGTTATCTATAAGGCTGCTTCTTGACTGACTACATGAAAAAGTTTTCTTAAAGCGTGGGGGTGGGAATGGTTGTCTATGCAGCCAGACGTTCCACAGGAGCAAGTTGAGGCGCTCTCTTCCGGTGAAGACGATAGATAGCCTTGGAAAGCCAGGATAGGCGCTTCATGAGTCAGAATTGACTTGAGGACACAGGGTTTAGATTTTTATTTCTGTTTTGTTTTTTGGTAAGGCAATCACTGCTGACACATTGGGCTGCTAAGCACAAGGACAAGGTCTGTGGTTCAAACCCAGCAGCTATATCTCAGGAGAAAGATGAGGCTACCTTCTTCCATTGAAGATTTACAGTCTCAGAACCTATAAGGAGCAGTTCCACTCTCTCCTATAGGGTCACTCCAAGTCAGAATTGACTATGGTGCTGGGCCTGGTTGGGTGTTTTTGATTAGGGGGAAAAAGTGGTATTTTATAACTTTATAACCTGCTTTAGATTGTCTCTCTGGGGAATCATATGAAGGTTCAAATGCCCTCATAAATGTTTGTATTTTCCCTACCCAAAGAAATCTTGCATAGCAGATAAAGTGTATGCCCATATTGAAAACTATAACTACGACAGGAGCTTTGGTGGTGCTGAAGGGTAAAAAGTTGAAGTATTAACCACAAAGCTGTCCATTCAAACCCACCAGCTGCTCCAAGGGAGAAAGATGAACCTACCTGCTCCCTTAAAGATTCACAGCCTCGGATCCCCATATAGGTTTGCCATTAGTCAGAAATGACTATGGTTTTTGAGGAGCCCTGTTGGCTACTAAATGCAAGGTCAGCAGTTCAAAACCACCAGGAATTCCAAGGGAAAAAATGAGGCTTTCTACTCCTTTGAAACCCACAGAGGCAGTTCTACCCTGTTCTATAGGGTAGCTATAAGTCAGAAAGGACTCTGTGAGAGTGAGTTTGTTTGTTTGCTTGTTTTAGTATAACCATGCCAATTGTGAAAGAATATCAACTTAAAGTTTCATCCCTTAGCCTGAAACCGCTGTTTTGTTACTAGATTGAAGTAGCATATAATATTTAATGTTCCAAATTTGATTTGTGGATAATTGAAATACCACTCATCAATTTTCATATGACAAATTTAGTTTCCCTCAAGATGTGGAATCCTGAATCAAAAACTACAGCAAAAAAAAGAAAATTGATCTGTATAAAGAGATTATCTTTTGTCCTATGGGAATCTTTGCTGGGAAGAAGCTCCTCAGAAGATATTTAATAGCATCTCTGGCAGAGCAAGGAATAATGTTTGAAATACATTTGTTTCTCCCCATATTTATGCAGACATTGATTTATGTATGCTGAAGTCCATTTCCTTTCTGATTTTATATTTAATAGGCAGCACAGTTGCAGATCTGCAGCAAGCAAAAGTTAAAATAATAAGGAATTCTGTATGTAATGCACCAGTTAGTTATAATGGAGCTGTTTTGCCTGGAATGTTGTGTGCTGGAGTTCCTCAGGGTGGAGTAGATTCATGCCAGGTAAGTTCAAGACAACATAGCAATGTCATCGCCCAAGAAGTTTGCAAACATGTATTCTTAGGTGATCTTATAATAACCATAAAGTTAACATGGTTAAAACATGTAGTCTTCATCTTCTACCGATTATGATCTAGTTTTAAGGGATAAAATGCTTAGAAAAGATTGCTGCATCGTGAAAACAAAAGTTTCCGAAGCAAAATTTCAAAGGAGCCCTGGCACCGCTGTGGCTTATGGATTGCTAACCCCAAGGTTGGCAGTTCAAAAGCACCAACCACTCTTGGGAAGGAAGATGACTCTTCTGACTCCCTTAGAGAATTCCATCTCAGAAACCTAGGCAGGTCTAGCCTGTCCTAGAGGGCCACCTCTCACTTAGAATTGACTCCGTGGCTGTGAGTTTGGAGATTGTTTGAGGTCTAAAGAATGGTCAAACATGCAAACGCAAGAATTAGATGTACCTGGGGTTAAATTCCTTAACCTCTGCAATCAGTTTTTTTTTGAGATAATAGTAGTACCTAGTATTTTGGCTATTACATGAATTAAGTATTAAATGAAGTTTAAATATGCCAAATAAATCTGCATAGGCAACAAAGAAATAGCAGCTATTTTGTTGTTACTGTTGTTAAATAGCATTCAATACTTCAATCTCAAATGCTTAACAACTATGTTGGTTTAAATTAAAAGTTAATTTCAAAGTCAGAAAAATTAAAGTTTAAAATATAAATATGCTGAATACTAGCACTTTGAAGATAATAAAGCAACATTAAAAGCCTAATTATTCAAGTCATAGCAGCTCCCATACTTATGAACAAGTACAACTGGAAAAAATTAGGATAAATAACTACTTAATTCTAGTGTGTAGTTTTCCAAGTAATTTACATTAAAGCAAACAGTAGATATGAAATGTCCCTCTAATTAGAATAAAATTAAAATTTTAAAATTGTTATATAAGTATCTGAACTGAATTTATATAGTTAGGTCTTCCAATAGGTTTTGTTCATGTCTGAAAACCAACCCCAAATCAAAGAAAAACCAAATACATTGCTGTTACATTGATTCCACCAAATCCTGATCCCATAGGGCAGAGTAGGAACTGTCCTATCCGGTTTCTAAAGCTATAATCTTGCGGGAAGCAGAGTGCCAAATCTTTCTCCCCTGCACGACTCGTGAACAAAACCTCTGAACTTTCAGTTAGCAGCCACGGGGGCACAAGAGCTCCTAAGGAGTAATCCTTAAATGGTTTGTGTAAACATTCAACTCAAAGCACTTTCTCTAACATGAAGCATTGTTATTGCTTGCAAGTTTTTTGTGGTGGAGGGCAATTGTTTCTCAATTTTCAAAATACTATTATCTACTTTGCCCTTTATTTCCTTTCAGTGTAGCTAGCTATCTCTGTCTCTGGGAATGGTCTTGCTCCCCTCTTGCTCTTCATTCATTGCTAGCTCTCTAACAAGAGAAGGCCAAGTTTCACAACAGCGTGCCAAAGAACTCACCCATCCCATCACCAACACACCTTCATACTGACAATTCTACATCTCCTAAGAGCATTAGTTAAAACTGATGTGAAGTTGAAACAGGTATTTATTTACGATTTACTTATTTATTGTCTAGGCTTACAAATTCTGCTCTTCCTTCAAACCCAGCTCAGGAATAATTCATCTGAAAGTTTTGCCTAGGTGCTTTATTACAGGCCTCAGCAGTTTTCCTCCAAAATGCTGTAATGCAGAGCCTGTGATGGAAAAAAGGACTTGATTCTTAAACTTCACATTTGTTTTCCTACTTTTTAAAAAGACATGACACAGAGAAATATTTTGCGATAGGGAATAAAATGCTGCAACGTGCAGTGCTAGGAAGGTCCTGAGAACTGGTTAGCTGGATCACATAGGACCCACTAAAGAATACAAGGTCCTCCATCTAGTGTGGATCGTGCACGTTGGTGGTTCACAAAGTTCTGCCTCTCCTCACTTAGACTAGTCATGAAACTGGTATGAGGAAAACTAACTACTAAGAGCAGCCAAATTAATGTCAAACTATTCCAGAGTCACACTTAGTAATAATAGTTGGCTTTTATTAGTCCTGACTCCATGCCAGCTGTATTCCAAGAGCTTTATATGTTAATTCACTTACACTCATAAAAACATTATTTAAAGATGAGGAAACTGAAGCACAGAGAGCTATTAAATCGCTTACCCAAGGTCTAGTAAATAAAGAAGCTAAGATTCAAGCTGTCTAACTCCAGAATACAAAGATAACCTCTCTTGTAGCTCATAAGATTTGTCTCCATAACTAGCATATTATTTGCACAAATATTTTTCGTTAGTTGGTTTATTATTGCAATTGGCTGTTAAGTATTTCAGAAGGATTTTTTTACTTAATGCCATATGAATCCATTTTTAATTATTGGATTAAAACATTGTTATTATAAAATAATTTTCGATGATAAACTGTGTATTTGGCACTATCCAGTGTTTATGACTATGCAGATAAGTGATACTTCTAGAAATAAATTCATTCAACAAGTGTTTATTTGGCATATCCTGTAAACTAGAAATGTATGATACAACAGTATACAGAATAGTTATGCTCCCTCCCCCAAAGGAGTTTACAGTCTAACAAGGAAAACCATGCTTGACAAGAATCATAGATCCACAGGATCACACAAATTTACATCTGTTGTAACAAAGAAAGCTAACGTATTGAGGTATGTTCAAATAGGCAGAGAAATGTGTTTTTATAAAATCATAAAACGTGATAGCTAGATACAAGGTATGGAAACACAGGCAATCAAACACCAGCCCACTCCAAAGCTGGAAGGGGCAGCTCAGAGACAGCTTCCTGGAGAACCGGAAGCCTGGGATAAGTGGGGGTCAACTGTGGGGTGTTTAGGAAATGCACTGCCCATGTTAATCTCAGACTAACTGAAGGAACAGTTTCTATACTTGCATAATTTCACTAAATTGTGTCTGAAATTGGTATGAGATTCCAATTGAAAATGTCAAGCTGACATGATTTGTTGTTATAATGGATGTGACATTTTTCTTTGCGACATTAGAAATAAATTGTTTAATGTGTCGGCATTATCTTCACACTGAAAAAAATCACTTATTCTGTTTCCAGGGTGATTCTGGTGGCCCACTAGTACAAGAAGACTCACGAAGACTCTGGTTCCTTGTGGGGATAGTAAGCTGGGGCTTTCAATGTGGTCTACCAGACAAACCAGGAGTGTACACTCGCGTGACAGCCTACCGAGACTGGATTTCCCAACAAACGGGGATCTAGCACAATCAACATCCCTGTGCCAAGTCTGCAATGCCAAAGCTTTCTTTTTTAGCAGAAACAAAGAGTGAAGCGTCCTCTTCCAACAACCAGTTACAAATTTGTGGGGGGTTTGTTTGTTTGTTTTTTAATCATGTTATTGAGGGCTCGTACAACTCTTATCACAATCCATATATACATCTATTGTGTCAAGCACATTTGTACATCTGTTGTCATTATCATTCTCAAAACGTTTTCTTTCTCCTTGAGATCTTGGTATCAGCTCATTCTCCCTACTCCCCCTCCCTCCCTCCCTCCCTCCCTCATGAACCCTTGATAATTTATAAATTATTTTTTTCATGTGTTTTAACTAATACTTTAATCTTTCTCTAATATCTTATATTTTCTCAAGGAAACTATGTGTTATTGTTGTACGTTACTGTGTGCAGTGGTTAAGCATTCAACTGCTAACAGAAATGTCAGCCGTTGAATCCACCAGCAACTTCTCAGGAGAAAGCTGGAGCCATCTCCTCCCATAAAGCTCATGGTCTTGGGAGCCCCACAGGACAGCTCCAGTCTCTCCTACCGGCTTGCTGTCAGTTGGAATCAATCCAAAGCAAGGGGCAACAAGTTCTGTACAGATGAAATTAAACTTGTTGCAGAGTGAACATTTTTATAACAATTGTGATAAAAAAAGAAAAATAGCGTCCTTTATGTCCTCAAGCAGATGGTGATAACTACGTGACTTTGTGAATGTACATATGCTACTCAATTGAACACTTGCAATATATGATTGTAACATGATGTTAACATGATCAGTTTTGTTATGTGTATTTTTACTGGAACGTTTTTTAAAAGATTGTGTATACTATAGGAACTATAGGGCAATCATGAAGGGTCAGAGGAATCTTCTATGAGTAAGTTTCATTCAAGTGAGAGCTGAGGGAAGGATAGAAACTTGACCAGAAAAGGTAGTAGGATATCATTCCAGACAGGAAAAGCTGTGCGAAACCACCAGACTATTTGAAATTTCTGGTAAAATGGTATTTTATCGGTTGGGTAAGTCCTAACATTAAATGTATGAGAAGATGTGCTGTCGTATAATACATGAATTACCCTGTAAGGACCATGAAAGCATATACATGCTCCCATGGGATGAGTTATGAATTTTAGGCATTTTCATTCAAAGCTAAAAATCACTCATTCCTCAAATTAAACCCCCAAAAATAAATACTTTCAAAAATTAGAAAGAATTCCCATGATAAACTTATTAAAATATTTTTTTCAACATAAAGTAAGTATATTTCCTCCATAAAGAAGCGGAGGATATTCACCTATGCAACCTTCTCAGGCACTTTACAACCACACGGTGCTTTTTAACAGTGAGGTAATGGATAACTTAAGAACAAAAAAAATATTATTTTGGAATGATTTTCTACCAGCAAGATCCAATGGATAGAAGTCATTTAGAAAGCTTAGCTAAAACTGAGTAATTAATTGAAAACTAATGAGTACAAAAAAGGGAAAGCAGTTTGTTAAGAAATAGGTTAATTTCAATGAATTTACCTTGAAAGAAAGAATTTTCCTCTCTCTCTCTCTCTCTCTCTCTCTCACACACACACACACACACACAAAGAGCATAAATTAAATTAAGATCTTTAATATTTAATGGCACACTAAGGTACAAGTATTGGTCTTTCCCTATCTCTTCTTCCCTGGACAGTGAAGGAAATCAACAACTTGAGGAAGAAATCAGTCCACAGGACGCATGGCCCACACAGACCATGGCCTCTTCTAGTCTGAGGCCAAAATACTAGACTGGACCCAGTTTCCAACAACCACCATTCTGACCAGGCACACAGTACAAGGCCCCAGTCAAAATGGGAGAAAAATGCAGAGAAAACTCAAATTCCTTTTTAAAAAATCAGATGTACTGGACTAACAAGGTGTAGAAGACTCCTTGAGATTATTGCCCTAAAATACCCTTTTCACCTGCAATCAAAGCAACTTGTCTAGGTCATATTTCAGGCAAATAATAGATTGGCCTATAAATAAACATAACACACCGATGAGGAATATGCCCCTTTATGCACCAACTATAAAAGACCGAATGGTCAGCATTCACCCAAGAGCAAACAAGAGAAGGCAAAACAGAAAAGGGAAACTGGATAGATGAAAACAGGGCACCCAGGGTGGAAATGATGAGAGTACTAACACATTACAGGAATTGTAACCAACATCACAGAATATTGTGTACGAATTGTTGAATGGGAAGCTAATTTGCTGTGCAAACTTTTACATAAAACACAGTAAATTATATTACTAATTAAGATATTTAAATTTTTAGTGGAACAGCAATTTAAGAAGTTTGGATCAGGAGTGTTAGTAGTTTTAATGGGATCTAAAGCTATGTAAAATTTGGTTTTGCACCTGCATATCTGAAAGCTGACTCACTATACTTGGGTATCAAAACAGCTCCATGTATTTATTACATGGAAAACTTCTGGGTTTTCTTGATTTAAAATCTGAAGAAACCTACTTTGAAATCATTTTCTTTTATGGAAATGAACTACAATATAATCAACTCTAGGCACAATGTACAAACACATCTTAACAACAGTTGGTTAAAAAAAAATTTTAATGCTTCCTCCCCGCACCTCCACTATCATGACACCAATTCTGCCTTACAGATCCGGCTAAACCAGAGCATGTACATGGGTACAAATAAGAGCTGGAAACACAGGGAATCCAGGACAGATAAACCGTTTAGGACCAATATTGAGAGTACCAGGGGAAGGAGAAGGTGGGTGGAGAAAGGGGGAACTGATCACAACGATCTACCTATAACCTCCTCCCAGAAGGATGGATGGCAGAAAAGTAGGTGAAGGGAGACAACGGTCAGTGTAAGACATGAAAAAATAATAATTTAAAATGATCAAGGGTTCATGAGGAAGGGAGGGGAAAATGAGGAGCTGATACCAAGGGCTCAAGCAGAAAGCAAATGGTTTGAGAATGATGATGGCAACACATATACAAATGTGCTTGACACTATGGATGGATGGATGGACTGTGATACAAGTTGTACGAGCCCCCAATAAAATGATTTTTAATTTTTTTTAATCTTATTAGCTCTGCTCCAACCACATTGACTTTAATTCATATTGACTGTTCATCAAACCCACCATAATTCAAATGCACCAATTCTTCTGTCTTCCTTATACAATGTCCGACTTTCACATGCATATGAGGCAACTGATGAAAAACACGGCTTTGGTCAGGCGCAGGTTAGTCCTCAATGTAACTGCCCTGCTTTCCAACACTCTCAAAGGTCTTGTGCATCAGATTTACCCAACACAATGAGTGAAGGGGTGGAGTTTAGTCTGTCAATCGGGTGGCAGCTTGATGACCTCATTTGGAGGTGCCAAAGAGATAAATAGCTTGCTTGAGGTGGGACACTTGCTCACTCCCTGGGACAAGACATATGGAACTACATTAGTGCCCTGAGCTGGAGGAGCCATGTGGAGACCCCTGCCAGCTCTGAGATGCTTACACTACTGAATCCACAAGACTTCCCACCCACTAGCCTGTGATCTTCCTGCATTCGGCATCATTGCATGGGTTTCGTGAGTCTGAAGAGGACTTTCTAGATTGGTATCGGACATATGGGCTAATATTGGACTTATGGACTTGATCTGGACTGGCTGGGATGTTTTTCTCAATATTCAATTGCTCTTATATAGAGAGCTCTTTCTTATACACATATGAGTGTCTATGCGTTTGTTTCTCCAGTCTAACTAGACTAACACACCATTGTTTGGGGTAAATCTGCACAGGCCCCCTTTCAAGGGTTGAAAAGCAAGGATGTAGACTGTTTGAGGAGTAAACTGTGCCTGACCCAAGCCATGTTATTTTCCACGATTTCATATGCATGTTAAAGTTGGATAATGAATAAGGAAGACCAAAGAAGAATTATACATTTGAATTATGGTGTTGGTGAGGAATGTTGAAAGCACCACAGGCTTGTAGTATAAGAAGTACAAGTCACTTGATCTGCCCTTTGGTACACTTTGGGTTATATCTGGCTTTCAATATCTTCTGTGTGTGTGTGTTTGTTTGTTTTGCATATTAGACTTATCGCTGATGCATTCTGTCATTGTGAGTAGCCTTCTTGAATCTTTGTTTTGTGTTTGTCTGTTTGTCAGCATATGAAACTTGGGATTGGTCAACCTATAGAGAAAACAACTAAAAATGTGTTCCTGGGGGGGATGGGGGTGAGGAGGGGGAGCAGGGAAAAGGAGCTGATATCAAGGAGTTCAAGAAGGAAGAACATTTTTAAAATCTGATTGTGGTAGCAATTGGACATTACTTCATGATGTGATTGAACTAACTGTGAAATTATATGATGTCTGGATTAGCTCCTAATAAAATGGTTTGGGGGGGGTGGTTAAAATCAGGGAGAAAGTGCCCTAAAAACCCATATAAAGCTTTTTCCTTTCTTAAAAAAAGTAATAAAAGAAGTACAAGTCAGTATGTTCCTTAGAAACTAGAATGGGAAAGATTGGCTTATATACTCTAGACACATTATCGTGAGAGGTCGGTCCCTGGAAAAGGATAGCGTGGCAGTGGAGGATCAATGAATAGAGAAAGACCCTCAGTTAATTTATTCGACACAGTGGCTCCAACATAACAACAATTGGAAGAATGGCGCAGGATCAAGCAGCTTTATGCTGACGTATGCAAGGTAGCTATGTGCAACAAAACAACGAAATCGCATCTAACAACTTCAAAGAGAGAAACTAAAAGAACACAGGAACAAAAGGATGTAGACTGGACTCAGTCAAAAGACTGAGTAATTCAGAGAAAATATGATGGTGACTTGGATTAGGGAACTAGAAGTAAAGATGTTGGAAATAGATGAATTTAGAAAAATGTGCAGGAAAAAGTAATGGTGATTTCTAACAGACTTAGAGACTAAGAAACCGGGGAAGATCAAGGTTGACTCATGTATTAGATCCGAACTAAAT